ATCTAAATGAAAGTCGTAGATTTCGTTAAACCGAGAGCGTGTATAAAAGGAACGCCCAAATCTGACTTCGTATGAGGAAGTTATGATTTTTCTAAGTTTCGACTTAGCAGTATGCAGCCCGAATACTCGATTTGAGATCGAGCGGTTTTTAGCCGAAACAATCTAAATGAGAATCGAAGATCTCATTGTTAGTAGCGAAACGATGAAAAGTTAGGCGAGAACGGACGTCAGACGAAGAAGTTATGAATTTATAACGAAGTTTTTCTGTCCCGGCCTTCTAAAAATAAATAATAAAAATAAAAGTCAAAATTAGCCAATGGAGTCTAAATGAAAGTTGTAGAGTATGGTCTGACCTTCGTGTGGATATAAAGAACGTCGAAAACGGAGCTCGTATGCGAAAGTTTCGCAATTTAGAAAACTGACAAGTCAATTACGCCCCGCGTAATTTGAGTACGCCCCGCGTACTCAGTCGGATGCAACTTGTCTGACCAATACTCGAGTGCCACCAGTCGACGCACGCAGTGACGTCAAAGTACGCCCCGCGTAACCCGAGTACGCCCCGCGTAATCCCAGACCCAGCAGCCTATAAATAGAACTCGAATTCAGCCATTTTCTCTTGTTCAAACTCTTCTCTCTCTCTCTAAGTTTTGCCTCGTTTTGCGTGCCGTTTATACCCCGAAGGCCCGGTAATATTCCCGAGCCCCGAAGCAAGATCCGAAGCCCCGAGAATCCCGAAGAGCGTTATTCCCGAGCCGAAACGCTGCCCGCGAGGAGCCCGGTTTTGTGAAGATCTTCCAGATCTACGGAGAAACACCTCTTCTGCAAGCCGTAGTGCTGCCCGATCATCTTCTGATCAGGTGAGTGTGTAGATACTTTCATTCCAACGCAATATTATGAAGTATTTTATATAAAATACGTGCTATGTGTATATATTTTGTTGTTATATATGTGAATGTATATCCACTCTCTTCTATCTTATAGATCTGATTATTTCTCTATGAAATACGTGTTATGTGTGTGTGCCTCATCTGTTATGTGAAAAATGTTTTGGTTGAGCATGCTATACAGGTTTTGAAACTACGTATAAAAATGTATATTTTATCTACTAACATGTTGGGTAGAATATGGGTAGATAATTGGTGTGTAATAAACAGATGAGAGGCCTCGATGTTGTTTTGATCCAGTCATCTAGCGGAATTTAGATGACGACCACAGACTTTTCTAGACAGTCCAGTGGAACGCTAGCAGGCTCATAACCTGTAGGTGTTAATGAACTTGGGTGTTCATTCGTTGTATTCCATCCCCCCATGGTTGCCTTATTTGACTTATATTGCTGAGGAACCCCCGAAGCATGTGTAGTCGCCCCAATGAAATATTCTTAGACTAGGTCCCTTGTGTTAGTTATTTTATGGATATAAAGTGAGAATAACGGGAATGGGTAACTGGGTTATTGTTGGTTGATAATAATTAATTTAATTATTTATTGTGGGTTGAAAACCCTATATGCTCACCAGGCTCCCAAGCCTGACCCACTCAGTTGATTTATTTTACAGGAAGTGGCGCAAGAGCTTAAGATGGGCGAACATCAAGTTGTTTTGTTTACAAGTCTGTATATGTATATATTTGTTGAAAGACTTGTAATGCTATCGTTTATGCTTTATGATCTGTATCGGAACATGACATCCCGACTTTTGATTATGAAATGAAATCATATTTCTTTATGAAATGTTTTGATAAATATCTATTTTATCATGTTTTGTTTTTGGGAACAAATTCCACATCTCTTTTAAAATTAAAAGGATTTACTCTGAAAATTATTTTAAAAAGCATAAATGAAATCGGTCTTTTCTGGCCGAGATTTTGGGGATGTCACAGTAGGAGAGTCATTTTACCCTCAGTATTATTATTATCAGTATTTGATTGATGGTGCTCATGGATATTGTAGTCGGGGTGAAACCGGCGACACAGCAGACAGATTCCAGAGCAGTCCTTTCAGCAGCTAGGGTACGAGGTGAGTTTCCTTCCAGTGGGAACGGGTCTAAGGCCACAATGTCGGCCCGTTTAGTTAGTAGTAGTTTCCGGACTCCGGTCCGATGCAGTTGTTAGTGTGTTTGATGCCTTCGTGGCTCAGATAGGATTTATGTGTTAGGTATTATGGGCTATGGCCTGACGTAGTATGCAGTATATGAGTTTATGATCATGTGTGTTATGCTAGTTGATATGTGTTTATGCTATGCTATGCTATGCTCAGTTAGTTTCCGGACTTCGATCCGATGCAGTTAGTTCCGGACTTCGGTCCGGTGCAGGGGACAAGGTCCCAGTCAGTTCCGGACTTCGGTCGGATGCAGTTTATGGGCTTCGGCCCAATGCAGTGGGCAAGGCCCAATACGTGTTTATATGTTATTTTATGGTATGTGGTAGTTTGGGGGAGCTCACTAAGCTTCGTGCTTACAATTTTAGTTTTGGTTTCAGGTACTTCCGCAAGTAAGGGGAAGAGCTTGGGATGATGGCATCGCACACACCACAACTTCAGTCTTTATCCTGGGAGTTTGTTTTGATTCATAGTTTGATTTGATACAGTTGTTTCACGACATTTTATTATGAGTTGAGATATTTGACATATGGTTTTTATGATATGACGATCAATATATAATTTTTATTACTATTTTAACAAAAAAATTTGGGTCGTAGTTAGGGATGTTACAGGTCATAAATGGAACCTCTCTAAATCTCTTTCACTCTATCTCTCTCTATTCGAAATCTCTCCCGAATCTCTCTCAAAAGTTCCCGTAACTTTTCGTAATCATTTGGGCCATCCCGACCCTTAACCATGTCTTTTCTGACCGTGAAAATGGGGACGTCACAATTAATACTTGAAAACTTGTGGAAACATAATAAATATCAATGTTTTATGAAATTTTGTGAAAATTGTGACATGTTCTAGTCACAAAAAAAATAGAGTATTTTTGGGTTACAAAACACTCAAATAAATTTTTGGTGTGTTAAAAACCCACAATAACACTTGAACATTTTACTAAAATATAGTTTTTATTAGTAAAACAATCGTAAAGGGGTGTACTATTTCAAGGGTTTAAAAACTAGAGTATTTTGTTATTTTTACGACACATATTGCAAGTTGACAAGCCATTGGTAAGTATTTATAAATATTGTTATAAATAATTCAATAAAATCGGGATGAAAAACAGGGTTATACGACAGAAATATCCGCGTGTCATAAAACCGCAGTCATAAATTAACACTAAGAACGTCATATGCATTATTCGATAAATTCGCGTAAATTTTTGTTGGGGCTATTGTGAGACACTCATTCACCGTACCTACCTAGCGTACAGCATAAGTCCTGTAGTTATAGTCAGAGTCTTCTGGAGGGAGAGCAAAGTAATTGTGTATAGATCTATACGGAGTTGACACCCTACACCTGAGTTGTTTGCTACAGCTAGACGAGCCATTCTAGGGTGACAAATATCTTATTAGAAACCGACTCCTGAAGAACGTCAAGTCAGACGCTTTAGTCGCATTAGTATGGTTGTAACGACTCACATAGAGTATAACAATAGAATTTTAAATTTACGAACAATTTACACTCTACTAGTTTTATAAAATATAAAACTACGTTACGTCTATTTTTTACACTAATCTCCCCTCTCCGGTCTTAGGGTTTTTAAGACCATAACTTTTTATATAACATAAAATATAGGATTTTCTGGGAACACACTATTTTCAAATACAAAGAAAGGAAAACAAGAAGTATGCATGCAATTATACATGATTTTGGGAACGAGACTCATAACTACTTTTTTTTTTTTTTTTTTTTGAAAATATTGGATTTTCTGGAGTTTTGCAACTTACTATAAACTAAGATATTACAAAGTTTTTCCTACAAATATGCTTATGAACTCACCAACATTCTATGTTAACACTTTTTCAAAACGACTTTTATTCTCAGGGACTAAGTGAATAGGTACTCGAGTCTTGGATCTAAATGTTTTGCTATCTTTTTGAGACATCATACTTTATGTTATTTTTGTGTAATGGAAGAACAAGTACAATTTGTAAACGACGAATATTAATATTTTGTAATGTATGATGTGTTGGTTGTTATGTATCAACTATATTCAACTGTTATGATATTACAATATGAAATCACCCGTCCCTGGACGTTTCCACCATCCCGGTTCGGGGATGTGACATATTCAAAAAATTACTTATAGTCATATTAAGTTGTCTTGCAATATTATTTTATTTATTTATTTATTTATTTATTTATTTTTTTGTGAAATAATCATCACAAAATTAATAATTATTATGTAGCCAAATTTCATTCAACTATTACATTTTATTTGTTTGATCACCAAGTGTTAAACTATTAAGAACTATTTTTTTTCTTCAAAAAGAAGTTTGTAAGGTTCTTTTTTTATTTATTTTTCTATAATGATTTACAAATATATCTCAACAATATTTTTTCTGGTTAAAGATATTTTTTTAATAAGAATTTCTTAAGTTTTAATGGTTGATTCATAAAAAAATATCCGGATGGTTAGATTGACATTTTTTCAAACTATAATTGCTTTTAAGAATTCAATTTGTATTTTTGGAATATAAAAACAAACATTAAGTGGTTAAAAAGAAAAATAACTAAAAGTCTTTCAGTAATTAAAAGGAATACAAAAACAAAAATACATTAATTTTTATAATTTTTGGTTTTATCATGTGATAAACCTAATGATTATATTATTGCTATTTGATCATTTTGAAATGCATAACTTTCATATGAACACATGGAGAAACATGTAATTTGCCTATTATGAATTTATGAATTTATATATTTATAAAACAAGCAATCAAGTTACAATAAAGTACTATATTTTTTTAAAAAATTAGTCGGCACTTTTGAGTTGTAAGTAAGTCATGTGGTATCTGAGAATGCCAAATGCCACTTATGAAGAAACTCTTTTAAAATAACAAAAAATAAATTGTCACGACATGGTTTTACATAGTAATTAAATCACCTAAATCCAAATAATAATAGGTTAATTATGATTGTTTACAAATATCCGAATTCGACATAAATCTTTTAAAAAGTCAAACATCTGCTAATAATTCATCATTACAATTAGTGGAATTTTGAATTCCGGGATCTTCCCTCGTTTTTTGTCTCTTCTGTCTTTCAAATTTCAAAAACGTTTTACCTCGCCTTGCTCCTACCTGAACATAAAAACTAGGGTTCTTATTCAGTACGATTACCTATATTCCAAATTTGATTTTGATACTATGTTGCTTGACTCAAATTGAATTTCGTAGAGTTTAATCGCAGGACGATGGGTTGTTTCTTCGCATGTTTTCGTGTTAGAGATGACCGTCGGCCTCCAATCCATCTCCTCTCTCAACCAATTGCTTCCAATCCCAAGGTAAGATCTAGAGCTTAAAGATATAGAAGAAGAGGGAATTTCCGAGATCTGTTGTTTCTAACTTTTGTTTATTTTTGCCTCGGTCAGGATCGTGAGTCTGGAGCTAGAAATCATTTATCGACTCTGCTACTTTTCGAAGGTGAGTTGATCGGTGTTATTTTCTCATAGCTTCGTGAACATTGATATAACTGTTTTTATTGGAGCCGCTCTCATTTTCAAGCAGGTTTATACATTTAATTTTTCTATTTCACAAAAACGTTTGAGAATTTTCTTTAGGGTTTGTGGATTTATTTGCTGATGTATTGCTCATAAAATCCTTGTTCATCTTTCAGCTGAAGATAGAGATCAATCGCCATGTAAGGACAGGAAATGCGGTGTTCTAGGTTCTGCTTCTCCTGATTTCAATTCGACGGAGCTGAAAGCTGAGGTAATAATATTTTTGTTGTCTTCTACAATGAAAAACGATCAGCAAGTGGTGCTAGTACACAACTCAGAAGGTCTGGGTCAAAATAAATTAAACCGTTATATTTTTCAGAGCCACGTTTTGCGAGTTTTGACTTATTTATTTGAGTTAGACAAGCTTTAATATCATGCTATTATCTGTCCTTTTCTCTCAATATAAAGTAATCTATCATATTTTTGCCTCTAGACTTTGCGTAGGCGATCCACTTTTCTTGCTTGTGATAATTCTCATTTAAGTGGAATGATAACTCTTGCTTCAATTGAATGACTAGCCTTTTATCTTACTCATGTAAGATGTTTTTTTTTGATAATGAGTCAGAGCTACTTTACTTAACCTCTTTATTGACATTTCTAAGAGCAAAGAAAAACAATAGGACAACAAACTGATGCTGCATCTTGTATTTTTGAAAACAATGTTTTCTGTTATTGATGCTTTTTCTGACACAAGGTTCTTCAAAATTTTGGTTTATTCATATTTGAAATCACTTTTTAGTTTCTAACTTGTTCGTGTAGCATCCTAAGGAACCTGGCAATTTTGCAAATATTTTTTATTAGGTCGGTTGTACATCAACTTCTTGTTTCTGTCATAGTTAACTGCTATTTACAACACCTATTTGATCATTTTTGTTTACTTTTCTGAATGCTGATCGTTGTTCAGTAGTTATTTTACATTTTTTTTACTTTTCCAAGAGTGTTAGACCATATAATCTTTTGGTGAAGGAACTAATTGATAACCTCATTCATTAGGTCTCTACTTTCCTTTTTTTTTTTTTTTAAATGGGTTACATTCCATCTCCAAGTGAAGACAAGATCCTAACTCCTAAGTAAGATGTTTTGGTCAGTGTTAGGTCTCATAAGAGACAAAAACCTGTTTCTTAAGAAAAAGAAAGACTTAGTTAACACCAAGGGTTGTTGGGTGCCAAATCTGAAAGGTGTCAAACTTTTAACATATACTGCCTATCTTCCCAAAGTACAAATACATTCCCATTTGACCCAATCAACCATTTTTAAACCATATATAATAAAATATTGCCTATACTTGGAAGGTTACATACTTCATCAAAATGTTGTGCTTTGTATACTAACATCTCTTGACCACATAGGTAATAATTTCACTGTATATATAATTTATATAGGGAAAGAGGAAAGCAGGCAGTTAATACACAAATCTTTAACAAACACCCAACTTCTAGCTATACTTTTATGGTTTAACCAATCATCTAACTATAAATTGTAATTCTACAGGCTAAGTTTCTCAAAGCTTGTGGTACTTTACCACAAACTCCAGTTGAAATTCGGAACAATGAGAAACTGAAAGATTTAGAACCTCAAAACAAAGATACAAAATCATCAACATTTCATTCATGGCTTCAAAATGATAGTCTTGAAAAGCTCAAACTGGAGAAGCAATCCGATTTGCAACCTTCTGCAATCAAACTCTTTGAAGAATGGGACAATAAATCAGATTCTTCATCACGTTCACTAGACAGGTAATATCTCAAATTTAGTCAGTTTTTTATTTCTAAAATTACAAAACCAATGCTTGTAACAAACAGAAAAGGTAACTGCTTTTGTTGGGTAGTTGTGTGACAGGACATGCCAATCAAGCACAGAGTCCTATTGCTTCATCTACTCCTCTAGTTGCAAACACACAGTTTGGAAACAAATCTGTTCGATTTAAATCTGAGATTGATGCCTCTTCATTTTCATCAAGTAGCTCTTCATCTGAAGTTACTTCCCAAGAACCAAATTCAAAACATTCACCTTACCCTACCCCTCTCAGCTTAACCAATGATATGCAAACACCTGGCACTGTCTTCCATGCATCTTTTCATAACAAAGAAACTGGGAAGAAACCAAGGATCAGATCTCAGTATGTGATCCCAGTGCTAAGCCCTGTGGAAAATGCCACTCAGTTGAAGAAACTCGTGGAAGAAAGTTTTAGCTCTGATGACTCCTCAACTCAATTTGAAGAACATTATAAGTCACAAGTTGAAAGAGAAGAAAAAGAGTTAAATGTGGATACAAGTTTGTCTTCATGGCTACCACCAAAGCAGAATCATCAAGGCTCCATTCTTCCTAAAATTGGCAAAACTCCAGGGGATAGACCGATACTAGGGATGGTTGCAGCTCATTGGAATGCTGATGAAGCTGCTTCTTTCCCACCCAAGTGGTGGGATGGGAATGGAATCCCCAATTCCACTCATAAATACAATGAGGTAAATCTTGTTCATTTCTATCCATCTTTTTTACCTGTTACATGTAACATAAACAAAGCCAGACTTGGTATATCATATATCATATATCATATATCATATATCATATATGCCTTGTGTTTTGGGTGTGCAGGATCAGAAAGTTAGCTGGCATGCTACACCTTTTGAAGAAAGATTAGAAAAGGCTTTATCTGAGGATAAACTCACTGCTGAAAGGTATGTCATACTCTGAAGTTTTCTAAAAGATTCATCGCTATGGCCGGATGGGCTGAATAAAGGCATATTTGGGGATGTTTCTTTTTGACTTAATGGACTAAGCATTTATTCTAGGCAACTATACATAATACATGACTTTTTCTTTTTTACTAATTTGGACCAAATGACCTAATGGGTTAAGGTTAAGGTAAAAAAACCTTGCTTAATGTATTAAGACACCAACCCTTTACTTATTTGCCTTTTTTCGCCTCCTAACTGCTCTCATGTTAAAACTTATAAATGCTGCTAAAATTGATGAAAGTTGTGAGCTTTTGTTTTTTTAGAATGTAAGGGTAAAATGGTCGTTTGCTCTCATTCAGCCAGTTTATTTAGTCCAGAAAAAAAAGATATTTTATGTATACAACACTTTATCCAGACACACATCATTACCCATCCAGCCACTTCACCCCCATACTCATAATTAGGAAAAAGAAGAAGAAACCTCTTTGTCTTTTGCACATAGTAGAGAAAGATGAATGAGATTTTTGTTTATAAGCAGGAAGCAACTTGGAAAGGTGCCACTGGTGGATATGGATGAGAAAGATGAATGTGAGAGCACTGGAAGAACACTGCAATCTTGTAGTCGTTTTGAATCTGGTTATGTTCTGATCAACAGTTCTTGACTGCTGAATGCTGATGCCAGTTGTGTATGGAGGTAGAAATGTAAAAGACCAACAAGTGTGTTACTATTTGAAAAATGAGGGAACTTAAGCAAATTGTATAAATATAAATGTAACTGAATCATGGGATTGGATTGGATTAGTCTTAATCCTTAAGACTTTGGCTATGAGGAGTAGGGACTGTATAAATCTATGATTTGTCATGTGCATGCTTATTTTTGTCTTAAAATGTTAGGTTAAAAGATCTGAAATATTAAATGTTAGAGGTTAATAAGGATAATATACGGACTATTTTAAATGAACCAAACTACCAAGTAGACAACTATACATTCCATGTCTAGCGAAAATGAGTGATAAATCTAACTTTTGTTAAGTAATAGCTACAAATAATATGTATACAAGTGTATGTTGAAGCAAGGTCTACGGTGCTCAACAAATAGATCTTTGGTGCTTGAGAAGGAGGTTTGTGGTGCTTAGACCAAACTGTTTTAGTTGAAAACATTAAACGTTATTTTAGGTCAATTTTTATCATTATAAATATTAAGGGTGAGCATATGTTGGTTTGCAGGAGAGGATCTATGTAGGAGCCTGGGGTAGCCTTTGACCTCTTAAATTTTCAAGCGTAGTGAAACTTTTTTGATAATTTTTCGGTGTGCTACCCCTAAAATTTACGTGTGCTACCCGTGACATTTTGTTATGGCTTCGCCATTGTTGGTTTGAGTTGGTTTTGGGAGAAAATTGAACCCAAATCGTAAAGCTTGTTTTTACGTGTTTAAAAACCGTTGATTTCATAATTTTTTTGGGTCCAGTTTTCCGCTTTCTGGGTTTGAGCCATTGGGTTTTTGGTTCTTTGATTAAAAACTATATCCCTAAGGAAAAACAAGGGAAAACAGAGTCACAAGCGGTTTGGCCAGTGGGATGCAATGGTACCGCTGGTATGCAATTTCTTTCTCGGTAGCTTCAGCGGGTTGAGCTGTGAAGGGAATTTCAGCGGTTTGGTGAACCCATTGTTAATGCATGCGAATTGTTTTAACGTTTCATGTGATTCCATGTATGATTCCCTTCATTTTGTTATTATTTAACATGTGAATTTTATTGAACATACCAAAAGTGCATTTGAATTAATTGATTGAACAACTGCATTTAATTCTTTTAACTGTTTTTTTTTAAATAAAAACAATACCAATATATATATATATATATATATATATATATATATATATATATATATATATATATATATATATATATATATATATATATATATATATATAAACAATACCAAAACGTTTATCATTTATCAAGATAACACTCAATTCTTTGAAATTTTTTCCACTTCATTCAATTCTTTTGGTTACATTCAATGGATTCATGAGGCAAAGCTAAACAAACCGGTTCTAGTCAAAGACACAAATCAACACAAAACGGTTTAAGTAAGGATATTCAATTTTCTTCTTCAAGATTTCAAAATCCAAACTATCTACCATACCAAAACTACCCAAAAGAATATTACCTAGTGCAACAATCTTACAACACATTTAGGTTTGCATAGGAAAAACCGATTTATAATCCATGTAATCAGTTTTCTCAATGGGTTCCAGAAACCCAATTCCGATCTTCTCAACCCGAGAATTTTCAGTTCTGTGATGCTCAAAACATAGAATTTGACAGTTCTAGTGACGACATGGTTCTCCAAAAAAACAAAGAAGAAACCAACAAGGAGTTGCAACCGGTTGCTGAGAAAAAGCGCAACTATACAAACCGTCAGAAGTTAAAGAAATGTGTGGAACACGATGAGTTGTCTTTAGCTACGACATATGTTGATTGTTCTATAGAATTTGATAGTTCTAGTGACATGGATTCCCTAGAATGCTTGGTAACATTGACTGCACACATTGGAATTGGAGGTATTGTCCAACGAAATTGAGAACCCAATACACGAGGGGTGACCATCAATATCCAACAATGATACTAGAAGCGGTGGTGTCACAAGATCTATGGTTTTGGCATTCATATTATGGTGTAGCCAGTTCGAACAATGAACTGAACGTCATTTGTCAATCACCACTTTTTGATGATAAATATCTTGGAATATGACCCGATTATTCATTTTATTTGAATGGTGAACACTACAAGCATGATTACTATCTTGCGGATGAAATATACCAACATGGGATGTATTTGTGAAGGCATATCTACATCTAGTAACCGATAAAAAGAAACGGTTCAAAGCGACACAAGAATCAGTAAAAAGGGATGTAGAATATGCTTTTGGAGTCCTTAAAGTACGTCGGGACATATTAAAAATGTTTGCAGGAGCTATAACAGTGAAGAAAACAATAAATGTAATATACGCTTGTATTATATTATACAATATGATACTGTAAGATACGAGTGCTGTGATATCTCCTGTGTATCAGCCCTCCCCCTCCCCTTCCCCCCAACAAAGAAATCGATGACCCAAAAATACTACATGAATTGCACAATGATGAAACCCACTACCAGCCTCGATCCGATCTTACTGATTATATTGAATGTGTCTACATTTCAACCCCGGATAACTAGTTAATTTTAATTGTTGTTTTAGGGTTTTAATTATTTTATCTTGAAGTGTGTTTTTTAAATCTCGTGTATTTTTTATTTGTAATGTGGTTTTTTAATCAAATGTTAATTTTAATATAATTTTAGATTTTAGATTTTCTTTTTGTTTTAAATTAGCACAAGTTTATTTTTTAATGAAAAAAAAATGTTATGTTATGTTTTATTTTATATTTTCTAATTTAATTAAATAAAAAGAATGGCGTGACAAGTGGATTAAGTGAGTTGAGAAAGATATAATTTACATATGTTGTAGGTTGAGAAAAATAAAAGTGTGAGGAAATAAAAAAAAATGATATGGTGGATTAAAAGGGAAAGATTCTCTCCACCCTAACTTATTATTATTTTTTTTAAATTGTCTTTATTTTTTTAAATGTTTGTCTTCCTTTATCTCGGTACCCCATATAAGCTTTATATCGCTAAAATTAAGTGGTAAATTAAAATAAAATTTACCATAAAATATGATGTAAAAATTAAGGAAATGAAAGTAAAAATAAAGGAAAATGAAAAATATGGGAGACCACTTATGGCCCATTGGGCCCATATCGTACATATAGCCATTTTTAGGGTAATACCTATGAAATTCTTGGTTAACAGATTAAAATAATGTGTCTTTTTCTCTTATTATGTATAATAATAAAATAAAAATAAAACTGATTTAATAATAAGTAAAATCATTAAAAGAATGTGTATTTTTCTCTTATTATGTATAATAATAAAATGAAAATAAAACTAATTCAATAATAAGTAAAATTGTTTCTATATGCATGTCAAGTGTCCATATTAAGCTGTGTTATACGGATATTTATCTTTCATAACCGCATTAGCTTCATATCACTACCTCCATCTTTTATTACATTTTTCAATTCAAGGTGCATCACCATGTCCATAGACCATATAACAACGTATCGTCAAGTTTTCTCTTTCCGTCCCATCTCAAAAGGGAACTGATTTGTACACAATATTTTTTCTCCGTACACAACAATTTGTGCTTTAAAGTGTTGTATTGTACAACTCTATAATGCATAAATTGTTGTGTACGGTAAAAAATTGTTGTGTACGAATCACTTCCCATCTCAAAACCATCGGGCTGCCACAAAAATTATCATCTTTACATCCCACACCCACCACAACTTTCTTTTAATAAAAAATATTAAACTAATTATGATAACATTTCATTAAATATAGAAACAGAAATTACAAAACTAAATACTCACAAAAACATTTCATTCCCAACCCCAACGTTGTGCTATTTCACGCTTGCGTGTCAAGACTGCATTCAACTGCGCCCCAGCCAAATGATCATGCGGTCGAAGATAAAACTGCATATCTTTATCCTGTCGCTTCTCCCGCATCATACGCACCCTCTCTTCTTTTTCCTCCTCCATGATCCGTAACTTCTCCGCCTTGAACTCCTCTAGTTTCGCTCGATGCCGTTTTTTATCCTCCACATCTTGTTTGTTAACATTACTAAATTCAGAAACAATCCTTAGCAGTTGTTCATCCCTTTGTTGTTGTTGTTGTTCAGAGGATGATGATGATGCCGCTTTATTCCCCTTTCGTTGCGGTTTTTGCGGCTGTTCAACATTAAACCCCTCATCCTCTTCGGGAAATTTGTCATCCACAGAAGTTGTGTAAGTGTTTGATTCAGATGTCTTCGTCTTTTTCGGAGGGTTTTCTTTGATAATCCCCCATGCTGCCTCGTGAGAAAACGCTTTGTTTTTAAAAAGGTTTCTGTATTCGGTTTGTGCTAACAACAATATATCGGCTTCTGATTGACCACTTCGGCGTTGTGTCAGTTTGTTGTTGTAGATATCGTTGAACTTCTTCATCTTCTCGTGCATGTTCTTCCATTTTGAATTCATTTGATGAACAGTTCGATCAGTACCTCCTAATTGTTTGCTAAAATATTCAAGAATCCGCCTCCAAAATGAATCGGATTGTTGCCGATTTTCAATTTCTGGGTCTTTTGAAACATCGATCCAAGCCTTGGCTAATGCGACTTCTTCATCGATGCTCCATTGCTTTGACTTTTTTTTGGTAGACTGATGACCACCGGATGAAGGAATGTCGGTTTGTGGAATGTTATATGAAGATGAAGGAACACTACTAGAAGAAACACCAAGAACTTGAGGTCTTGGAAATGGTGAAGAGCCTGGTGAATTTATCATTTCCTGCAGCTATAATCGAAAGTTAGTTGACAAAATGCAGAAAAAGTTTGCAACATTATTTGGGTAACGAAGTAATTGGTTAAAAGTTAAAACACTTGAAGCAAGCAGAAGAAAAGATAATAAGGCAGGGGGATTCACTAACAGTGGTGGACGATGAATGATGAGGGCTCTCGGAGTTTCTAAAAGGCATTTGGAGGCACATTGAATCAATGCTGACAACTGAAGTAGGTGCAGTAGTTGGAGTTGATGGCGTTGAAGAATTTCCTTCAATGGGTGATTGTTCCATTATCTGATTTCCAAAATCAAATTGTAGAAAAAGAATTATTATTGGAGTTTATCAAATATAATATGGGTTTCTAAAACAGCTAAAACTATTGTTTTCATTTAAAGTGTAATGTTCAATCCAATCTGACACATACAATTTTTATATAAGATGGAGGAGATAGAATCAAAGCTGGCATGTGATCCACACTTAAATCAACTTAATTGAAAATTTATCTACAGAATGTATAAAAGTAGAGAGCAGTCTGACTCGGAATTTTTTAGAAAATTAAGAGAGCGCTAAACAATCGGTAATAAATTCAATCGAAGTACTGATTCTCGAATGACATAAGAATCAGAAGGTTTAGAGTAAGAAATTTTCGCAAGTATTTCAAATCAGTTATCAGGAATTACGTATCGTAACATGAATAAATACATATTAGCTATTAAATTTCAACAGTGCAGAAACATTATACTTGTAAAATGCAAACCAACCTTTGTCGTCACACAAGGAGAGACGATGCCCACAGCAGAGAGAACCAAATAGACGTCGGGGCAAGCGATAGGGGTAGAAGCGAAAATAGAGCAGAGGCGGAGCACACCTGCGGCGGAGCAGTCGCCGTTGATCGGCGAGGGGGTTTACGGGATTGCTGTCGTGCTCACTGTTGTCGATTCAATTAGGGCTTTCTTTTTTTGGATATTTAAACTCATATTCGCGTCGTTCGGGTGCATTTTACATGTCTAATGTCCATTTTCATTTTATCTCCTCGTCCATTTTCATCTTCCATTTATTTATTTATTTTTTAAATACATATATTAATAATTTATAAATTAAATCATTCGATTTACCAAATAAAAAATTTAATATTAAAATAATAATAACTAAAACATTACATTATCTTACACAAAAAAATGCATAATAAAATAAAAAATCACATCATTGTTAGTAATCATGATTTACACTCAAGCTCTGGTCCATTTTTGTGTCTCTATTGTTTAACCCTTACTATTAACTACTAATTAATTTATTATTTTTATATGATACTAGTTTACAATTCGTGGAACTACGGTTATAAAATTAATTAAATTTTTCATAGTAAAAATTCAAAATTACTAATCAATTATTTTAAATAAATTATTAATTAAGAGATGTTTTTATTAGTTATATGAAATTATAATCGTTGATTCAAATAAATATGTAAATTAATTTTTAATATATATTAGATATTTTTTATTTGTGAACTAATGCAAACAATAATATAATTTTAAAATTTAAACTTAAAATAGAGAATAAATACATTGACAAATAGCATCACATTAATGATGATGTCTAATAAATTTAAAATAGAGAATTAATAGATTGACAAGTATCAACACATTAATTAAGAGGTCTAATATGATGACACATGACAAAACAACTACTTTTTTATTAGTATAGAGATTAGAGCTATAAGTTAAAACCTTACTGTTGAACACAACCCGTAGTTGATGCCCTTCACCTCCAACAACCTTCTTTAATAGTCGTTGAGGTGCCTTAATTAGATTCAATATTTTTCTCGTTCGTCTTTTTCCTACTAAATAATAATCCTGTCTTCGTCCCCAAATCAGAGCTCTTTCTTTAGCTTCTTCTATTGTCTCCTCTACTTTTGTCTCTTCCTTGGATGACTCCTGCCTACTAGCCTTCTATCACCTCCTCGGATGACCCCCCCGTCTTTGAGCCTTCTATCCGCCGCAACTTGAGCTCTCTTTATTTTTCGAAGCTTTTCTCCAGACTCCTTGTTCGCCGACTTCATGATCATCGCCACCACCGACTCTCATTTTCTTCTATAACAGAACCGTCTTTGGTCGTCACTTCTTCTCTCTTATTCTCCGACGAGTAGTCGTTGTTGGTGATTTTAGTATCACCATGTCATTTATGTAACTGGAACCAACATGTGAGCTAAGGAGCTTCATAATTTGTACTCTAATGTATGATTGGGGTTGTGCGGAGTGCACATATGTATAAGATCGAATTAGAAGCCGGTTCAATGACAAGTCGGGGTCCAGGGGCAGCGCCCCGGGGTCCGGGTTTCCAAAGGGGTGGCGCCCCTTTAGCGGAGTCGAGGGCAAGCGCCCCTAGCGGGGTCCAAGGGTGATTATGATAAAACTGACGGCATTCATCAGTTTTGGAAACCCTAAATCCTCATCAAATATCCGAATTACCCTGACTTGTTTCCAAAGGCATTTGTAGAGGCCCAACTCTAATGAAACCCTAATCTCGTTTCTTATATAAACGACTCTTCCTTTTCAGAAGAAAGTGACGAATATTAGCTCTCGTTTTCATCAAAACTCTCACAAAATCTCTCTAGCAAATTGACTTATGATTTCTGTGCCTAGAATCGTAAGTGTTCACTTGGATTATCATAGGCTGAATTTCTTGCAACCCAAGCATAGGGTATAAATATCAGTTCGGAAAGTGTTCCCACGATCCAAGTTGGTATCCAGATCTCCACTACAAACCCTAGTATTCCTAGAGTCGCCATCGCTCGAGCTCTGCCACCACCGTTGTTGCTATCCACATCTATGGTTTTTTTTTTTAATTTTTTTTCCAGTTTAGTCGTTTCATTCCGGTCAAACATCGGGGATGTTAGTGATTAGGATTTAGGTTATGCGAATTTTATATCTCTATTTATAAGAGGGTTTACCTTAATATTAATCAAGCGAGTTATTCTCTTACAATCACTTCCTAATTGAAAAAAAAAACCATAAACTTTAATATATATATATATATATATATATATATATATATATATATATATATATATATATAAAAGTTAGTCTATTATGTTCCATCAAATTTAAAATAAGATTTTTATATATTTATCACTTATATATTATTTTAAGGTTAGCTTGGTATTGTTCGACATCATTTTCTTATTGTTTATAAGATTCTTATGGTTGAATATCAATTTCATCATAGTTACATATCAAATTATCTTCTCCTTCTAAAAAAATATTATGTAATAGTATAATGCACACATACATTATATTTTTTATTTATATGGGAGAACATTCTTGTGTCGGTTCTCACCATGTGCCAACATTGCATAATGACACCAAATACTCATTTCATATCATTCCTTGTTAATTTTTGCATCATATTGAATTTTATGTTTTTCTCATCTTGTATGCATATGGATGATTTGAGAAATGTATCATATATTTAAGATATATCACATCAGAAATATAATACATATGCTTGTATTGTACTCTATTAATTTTAAACAGACATACAAATGTTATTCCATTTAAGAGGTGACTAGATATAGACTATTGATCAATAACAATGATGTATTTATTGGAACCGAAAATACCAAATAATGCACGTTAACTCAATAGATCATGTTAAGTCACTTCTTCTATTATCACCATTGGATGATCATGATTGGCATGTATGTATTAACCTATCATGAGTTAGGCTAATTTGTCCACAACTAATGCATACAATCAATGCTTCCTATCATTAGCAAGGAAGTCATGTCTGGATTCAATTGTTGAATGTCATGCACATAGGTTTACACAAATATTGTTTATCGTAAAGGTTGATGACACCTTCAAAAAACTTATAAATACTTTCCTCGTCTAGCTTTCTCAAACATCTTTAAAAACTCATCCCATGAATCAGGAACGATGTCGTATGCTAGTTGATGAAGTGTAGATATACACATTTATATAATAGTAAAATCCCTTCTAGCTCTCATATCCCATGCAATCCAAAAATATGGAAACTCTTTATCTAAATCATGAACTATCTCAAGGATATAGTTGTCTAATCATCCGAAATTGTCATATAAATGTTAGAGATTAAGTGGGTATTTATATAAGATTAAAAAAAATTATGTTTTCAGTTCTTTTAACTGCCAACGATCATATTTACAGTGGAAAAACAAAATTGGCATCAAGACAAAAAGTCACAACAAGGTCGCCCATTCATGGGTCGTACATGCTTCGACACCGTGTTTCTATATGGGGTCGTAGCCACCACATAGGACCCCACGTTGTATATGACGAATGTGTTATATCTATAAAAATATAAAATTGTAACGTCCCAAAAATTAAGACCAAAAATTTTGATTTTTATATTAATAAAACCATTATCTATAACAATATCATAAAGCCATAGTAAAATCAGAGTATATCAAATAATATCCAAGTACAATCAGAGTCATATAAAATGTGGAACAACGTGGTGTGTGAACTGAAATCATTCCAATATCTTCCCCTTCAAACCAGAGGTACCTGAAACATAAACTGAAAACCGTAAGCACAAAGCTTAGTGAGTTCCCTAAGTTACCACATATCATACATATCAAACATATAGTGGGCCCCGCCTGCCATCGAGCCCTGCTCGAAACAAATATGTCAGTCATCAGGCCCCGCCTGGTATACATACAAACATATAAACACATGCATAAATCACAAAGATAAATAGCATACAATATAATCATCAGGCCTCGCTCGACATTGGGCCGCACCCGGTAAACATATCATAAAACATACATACATAGTCACACAGACAACTAACATCCTAATCCTAATAAACCATGGGCCGACTATGAAACCCTGCCCTTAATTATTTCCTATTTGGGTGTAGGTGACGTAATTTAGATGATCCGGGTGTTTGGTTTACGTTTTGGAGCCAATGAGTATTTTGGTAAAGTGTCAACTCAGGCTTTTACGGAAATTAGACTGTTGTTCAAGAAATTTTAAGGCATGTATGAGTTGATAAAAGCATAGAGCTTCTTGTCACCTTTTAATGGATATAAGGATCGTCGAAATCGGACTTATAATGAGAAAGTTATGGCATTTGGATGAATTTAGGGTTTAAGGAAAACCCTAGTACGCGGGGTGTACATAAGGAGTACATAGGGCGTACTAGTGTGAGGTCGTGTACACGAGGAGTACACTGCGTACAGTGAATGTACTAAGCAGTCATGGTCGTTGATGCGAGGCCTTGTACATTGGGCGTACGAGGAGTTTGAGAAACCCTAATTTAAGTGTGCTGCACCCTATATAATTACCTTAAGTTTGTAACATCCATAAATTTCACAAAAATTTTAAACCTTTTCAAACATCCCAAAACACCATTTATTACAAACTGTTTTCAAAATAGTTTGTCATCAAAGTAACTCCTAAAAATCATAAAACAAAATGTGAGGACGTGCACGATCAAGCATTTGCCTTCTCGCAATCCTCTGAAGTACCTGAAACCATAAACCAAACTGTAAGCCCGAATCTTAGTGGGTTTCCCCAAAATACCAACGCCATATAACAGAACAATATCATAAACAAATATCATGCATACAGAGTCTTCAGCATGATGGGACCGCCTCACCAGCCTTCAACCTATCTGGCCCACTCTCAAAACCTTCAGCATGTCTGGGATGCTATACCGGGCCTTCAGCCTGTTTGGATCGTTCTCCGGGCCTTCGGCCTGACTAGTACGCCCCGATGGTCCTTCAGTCTACTCGTGCATCCCTGGGTCTGTTGGCCTAGAGCACAAAGTAAGACCACCTAAACCCACCCACAATCACACAATAATCACATAGATGCCAGACGCTAGCTAGCACGTATAATAATCATATAGGCTTATAGACCATCGATCATAACATCATCCTATACCCTATGATACCTCAAATGGCTTGCTAAGATGAAGATGACTCTGGATCTACAAGCTCAAGCTACACCCAAGAAGCCTCCAAATATTCTTATTATTCTACCTCACCAAAAACACCAAAAAAAACTCACTTTCAAGCTCAAATATCACAAATAACACTTAGGGTTTCGATATCAAGGTATAGAGTGATGGAAGCTGATCAATAGAAGGTCCAAGTGTGATATACGTTGCTAAAATAAGGCATAAACCCTAAAAATTAGGATTTACCCTTGCATCACGTACATCATGTGTACTCCCATGTACCCCCCGCGTACATGAGTGAACCCCATGATCCTGAAATAAGCTAGTATGCTAAGCGTACTTATAGAGTATACCCCGCGTACTAGCTAGGGAGTACACTTAGCGTACTAGCTAGGGACTAAACTGATAGAAAATTTGCATTAAGGGGTTAAAAAGGAAATATACCAAATCTCAAATGTTACAAAAATACTATAACAATGAAAATTGTAATAATTAATATACAAAATCTCGAATGTTACAAAAATACTATAACAAAGTTATATTGAATTCCACAAGAATAAGCAAATGAAAATTTTAATACTTAATAAAATAGACGTGAGAGACATAAATAAAACAAGTTTGAGACACATTTATGAAATAAAACAAACTTGAAATTTTCCATATATATATATATATATATATATATATATATATATATATATATATATATATATAAGGCTATGATCAAATGTAAATCATATATACTGTGTAACTCAATACCAGTCATTAAAATTTCAAAGTCAATGGTTGTTATTAATAGCTAAATATTATTATTTTTTAAATAAAAAAATTATAAACTTTCTAAATTAAATCATTTAAAGGGTAATATGGATTTTTTATATGTTTTGAGTTATGGAAAGGGAGATCTTTCTTAGATTCATATTTGACCTTTTTTATCAAGTTCCAATTAAATTCAAGTTTAAAAATCAATTTTAATTTTCTGAATGCAATTCGATTTCATTCTCTAATCTACGATCCTTCATCCAATTTCATTCTTTAAAGAATGAAGAATTTACGTGAAATAAAAATAACATTTTTTAAGAATCGAAATCATTCTTAAATAACTACAACCATAAAAATAGT